ACCTCGGCCTCCCAAAGTGCTGGGATTACAGACACGAGCCACTGTGCCCAGCCTCTGAATAGATATTTTTCAAAACAAGACATACAAATGGCAAACGGGCATATGAAAAGGTGCTCAACTTCATTGATCATCAGAGAAATGCAAATCAAAACTATGATGAGATATCATCTTACCCCAGTTAAAACAGCTTACATCCAAAAGACAGGCAATAATACCTGCTGGCGAGGATGTGGAGAAAATGGAACGCTTGTACAGTATTGGTGGGAATGTAAGTTAGTTCAACCACTATGGAGAGCAGTAAGGGCCACATAGACACTGTTTCTAAAAAAAGAATTTAAAAAAGAGGCCTGGCGCCATGGCTCACACCTGTAATCCCAGCACTTTGGGAGGCACAGGCAGGAAGATCTCCTGAGCTCAAGTGTTCAAAACCAGCCTGGGCAACTTGGCAAAACTGAGTCTCTACTAAATATACAAACATTAGCTGAGTGTGGTGGAGCACGCCTGTAATCCCAGCTACTTGGGTGGCTGAGGCACACGAATCGCTTGAGCCTGGGTTGCCGAGGTTGTAGAGAGTCAAGATCGCACCACTGCACTGCAGCCTGGGTGCCAGGGTGAGACTGTGTGTAAAATAAATAAATAAATAAATAAATTGGTGAATAGAAGAATAATTGAATAACTGCCTCAGACATTTATACAGTTCTCATCTCATTCTGGCCACACAGAAGACCATGTTGGCCTCATCTCCTTGATTTTAAAAGTAGCCATACTAAAATCAAGGAGACTAGATGTATCACTCCTAGGCCAAATCATGAAAGAAAATGTGTAAGAGTTTCATGTGCGGGTCGTCTCTGTGATCCGAATTGAAGAAGGCATGAGTTTTAGATGCTGCATCACCGAGATCGTGGTGATTCCATCATCGTTACCTTTATAACTTGTGAGCATTTTTACTGCCAGTAATCATTATTAGATATACAATCTGAGATAGGAGTTAATATTTACTGTATTAATATCCCGGGCTGGGAGTGGTGGCTCATGCCTGTAATCCCAGTGCATTGGGAGGCAGAGGCAGGAGGCTCACTTGAGCCCAGTTTGAGACCAGTCAGGACAACATAGCGAGACCCCTATCTCTACAAAAAATTTTAAAAATCAGCCAAGTGTGGTGGTAAGTGCCTGTAGTCCCAGCTATTTGGGAGACTGAGGTGGAAGGATGGTTTGAGCCCGGGATTTCAAGGCTGCAGTGAGCTGAGATTGTGCCACTGAACTTCAGCCTGGGCAACAGATCAAGACTCTGTCTCAAAAATAAAATGTTTTTTCCTTTAGGCTTAAATTCTAACCCTCAAACCTCCAATGTGAAGGTGTTAGGAGGTGGGACCTTGGGAGATGATGAGGTTACAGAGGTGGAACCCTTGCAGATGGGATTAGTGGCCTTCTGAAAGTGACAAAAGAGAGCTCGCCAGCACCTTCCATGTGAGGAGACAGGGAGGATATGCCAGTCTCCAACCTGGAAGAGGGTCCTCATCAGACCGGGATCATGCTGGCACCCTCGTCTTGGACTTCCAGCCTCCAGAACTGTGATAAACAAATGTCTGTTCTTAAAAAAAAAAAAAAAAAATGTGTGGAAAGCAATGTTAATGTTCCCAATCACTTTTAGTACATTCTTTCCCTAACTATGTCTTAATGCATAGTTGTGTTGGATGGCCTAGTTTGTAATGTTGGAATATGCATGTTAGTGAATTAATAAATACAGCAGTAAAGAATACTGTTCAGGTCGGGGGTGGTGGCTCACGCCTGTAACCCCAGCACTTTGGGAGGCCGAGGCGGGCCAATCACCTGAAGTCAGGAGTTCGAGACCAGCCTGACCAACATGGAGAAACCCCGACTCTACTAAAAACACAAATCAGCCGGTCGTAGTGGCACAAGCCTTTAATCCTGGCTACTCAGAGGGCAGAGGCAGGACAATCACTTGAACCTGGGAGGCAGAGGTTGTGGTGAGCCGAGATCATGCTATTGCACTCCAGCCTGGGCAACAAAAGCTAAACTCCATCTCAAAAAATTAAAAAAAAAAAAAAAAAAGAATGCTGTTTGTTGACCATTTGATGGACTAGTCTTGGTGCTTCCTGGTGGGCGAGGTGAGCCCTGCCCCACCCTCCACCCCTTCCAGTAGACATGGCATAAGAGCGATTCTCACTTTCTGCTATAGCCTTTTATCCATTGGCTGAAATGATTTTTTTTTATGTCTTATAAATGTTTCCATAGTAAAAAAATGAATTGACTTTTATAGTGACTCTTTTGGGGATTGTTACCCATAATTTGTCTGAACTCCTAAAAAATGGAAGTAGGCCAAGCACAGTGGCTCATGCCTGTAATCCCAGCACTTTGGGAGGCTGAGGCGGGTGGATCACCTGATGTCAGGAATTCAAGACCAGCCTGACCAATGTGGTGAGACCCCAACTCTACTAAAAATACAAAAATTAGCCGAGCACGGTGGTATACACCTGTAGTCCCAGCTACTTGGGAGGCTGAGACAGGATAATTGCTTGAACCCAGGAGGCAGAAGTTGCAGTGAGCTGAGATGGTGCCATTGCACTCTAACCTGGATGACAGAGGGAAAGTCTGTCTCAAAAAAATAAATAAATAAATAAAAGGAAGTGAAGGTAAATATGCAAGATGTTGTGAGAGAGTTTCTAATTGTGATTCCTCCATAATTGTCCAGACAGACCACCCCTGGGGGTCTATTCACAAAAGACTCTTTAGAAGTTCTAACTCATGCATTTGAGAAACACTGAGGGAAATTTGAAGATGACCTGTTGTGGGGGTATAAATGGATTCGTAAATGTGTTTTGTTATTGTGTGAGTCTGTGTGTGTGTGTGTGTGTGTGTGTGCTGTCATCTGTGGAGTGGGGGATACTCTTTTGCCTTGAGAAAGCTCATCTCTATCCACTTAGTGTGAGCTGTACCATCTGTGCCTTGTACCCAATAGAAATAAAACAATTTGCTGTAGAAATGGAATTTTATTTTACTTTACTTTATTTTATTATTATTATTATTTTTAGACCAGGTCTCACTCTGTCACTCAGGCTGGAGTGCAATAGCACGATCTCAGATCATGGCAACCTCTGCCTCCTGGACTCAAGCCATCCTCCCACCTCAGCCTCTCGAGTGGGGAGATCCCACGTCTGCCTAATTTTTGCATTTTTTCTAGAGATGGCGTTTCCTCATGCTGCCCAGGCTGGTTTCCAACTCCTGGGCTCAAGTGATCCACTGGCCTCAAGCCTCCTAAAATGCTGGGATTACAGGTGTGACCAATACTGCCAGGAGGAAATGGAGATTTCTTTTCTTTTTCTGTTTTTTTTTTTTTTTTTTTTTTTTTTCGAGATGGAGTCTCGCAATGTCACCCAGGCTGGAGTGCAAGCCTCAGCTCACTGCAAGCTCTGCCTCCTGGGTTTACACCATTCTCCTGCCTCCCGAGTAGCTGGGACTACAGGCGCCTGCCACCACGGCCAGCGAATTTTTTTTTTTTTTTTTTCAGTACAGACAGGGTTTCACTGTGTTAGCCAGGATGGTCTCGATCTCCTGACCTCATGATCCACCCACCTCGGCCTCCCAAAGTGCTGGGATTATAGGCATAAGCCACCAGGCAAGACCCAGAAATGGAGATTTTTGAGCAAACACATTAAAGAAAATAAACACAAATAGATGAAACTCATTTTAACATGTTTATTTCACCCAAGAAATACAGATATAATCAACACCAATACAATCTATATCACAATGATGAATAAGATACATGCTACAATGCTTCATTCTCAGTTGCAAAATCTAGTATGTGTTTTACAGCAAACCTCAATTGGAAACTGAATTTTGATCACACATGCTTGACGTACATGTCAATTTCATGAGAGTTACAATCTCAGGATAAGTCTCACATAGCCTAAGAGTCCAAACATACCTTCAAGTGTTCCAACAAATTATTCACTACTTATTCTTAGAACTGAATTTACAAAGAAGAATCCCATCCCATTTATTGCTGAATTGCATCCCATTGAAAGAATGGGTCACAGTTTCTGTTTCTGTTCATAGTTGAATGAGGTTAAAGTCCCATCCATCTATTGGCGATGGTGAGGACAGATGCTAGAAGCCTCTGACCTCAGCCTTGTCAACATGAGTTCTAATTTCTTTAGAACAACTATCTCAGGATGGGAAAGATGGTGCCAATGCTAAGTGCCTATTGTATTGATTATGAATCAATGAAACTCTCCTGGAGGTTGTCCCATTTGGATTCCAACCAGCACTGTCAGAGTGTTCCAGCGTCTCCACAAGCTCTGCAACCCTTGGGATGGTCAGTCATTGTCATGGTGGCTTTTCTAAGAGCTTCCTGGTTGTATTTCAAGGTGTATTTGATGTCTATTTCCCCAGGGGAGGGATGTTGAACACTTTTTGAAGTGGTTCTTTACATCCCCTTTGAGGAAATGTCTGTTCAAGTCTTTTGCTGGGTTTTGAACAGAATCATTTGTTTGTTCTCTTGGAGTTTTGACAGCTCTTTGTGTATTCTGAGTATGAGCAGTCCTTGCGTGTATGTGAGATTTGCAAATATTTTCTGCCCCAGTCTCAAGGTTGCTCTTCTATAGAAATCAAGAGCATCTGAGGCAGAGCAAAGGTTCAGGTGGAGGACGGAGCATTTCTCCACCTGTCCAGCATGCACAGCGCCTCTCTCCTCGGAGGTGCAGGGACGTCTGTGCAGGGAGACACCCTGAAAAAGCAGGTGTGCTCAATTCTGAACAGAGCATCTCTGATTTCCGTCTGGCGCCTGAGGGTTCATGGCCCATCGGCCTTAGAAGAGACGTCTTCGGGCCTTGCACATTGGCCTCCATAGAACCTTGTGGCAAATTCTGGGCTCTGGACTGGGTGAGGGAGGTAGAGGTCTGAGGGCAGAGCTGGGCAGGGGCTCCAGGACATGGAGATCCAACTTGAATTCTTCAGGCAGAGCCTGTCTCCAGGAATCAGGCTTGGGCATCTGGGATGAGCCCTGGGGGGACAGCCGCTCTGTAGTAAGGTTTGAGGTAGAGGATGCGCCAGGAAGAAGGGCTGATTCCATGCACGAGGTTTGATGGGGGTCCCATCAGGGGCAGGAAGCCTTGGGGAGCCTCACCCTCTTGTACTGAAGGCGCCACACACACATTCTCTGCTCTCCGGGCTCTCACAGATCCATTTCCAATGTCAATCTCCCAGACAGTCTCTGTACTCGTGAGCAGGAGCCAGCGGGCATGGGCAGGGAACAAGAGATCCTTCAAGGACATCAAGACTTGCTCAGGGACCACCAGGAGGAGCACATTCAGGAGGCTGAGTCGCAGGGCTCCCTGTGGATCCAGCACCAGGACCTCCTCTCCCAGGCGCAGGTACAGGACCATTCCTGGTTCCAACACCATGATGATCACCTTCGTCTGGGGAAGCTGTGGGTCCTGGGGGAGAAAAGCCATGGGTCAGTCATTGTCCTGTCAGGGAGGCTCCAACAGGGACAGACCAAGGCAGGGAGCTGCCAGCAACTTCCCCAACCATAAACTCTGCAGGGACACCCAGAATTTGCACTTGTATTGACACCCCTTGGGACAGTCATTTCCTGGAAGTCCCCTAGGGCCTGAGGCTCAGGCAGACCTGTCTCCCCCACACCCACCTAGGTGGTGTGACCTTACCTGGGGCAGCTCCAGGGGCAGCTGTGCAGGGTGGTGGGGACCTGGCTGCGCTCGAGCTGGTTCTGCACCTGTGGAGAGAGCAGAGTGTGCAGGTGAAAGCCCTTGTCATGCAGGATGCCCTCGAGGGTTAAAGGTGCCACCATGAGAAAGACCAAATAGAGAAGAAGCCAGGTACAGGACACCTGCCCACGGGGCTGCAGGAGGAAGCTCCAGACACTCTGGACAGCACAGCTGCTCGTCTCATGATGTGATGGGACACTGGCTTCCTAGCAGGGGACTCAGGATGAAAAAGACAAGATGCCTCACCTGGCTGAGGACCCAGCTCCTCCACTTTCTGGCGTTTTGGGGCATTTGATTGCGTGCTGGTGGAGCTGTAAGACAGAGGGACACAGTCAGATTTCGGGCAGTTACCTAATGTCCAATTCCCCGAATCCCCACAAATTCACTCCACTTCCCCCCGTTTCATTCAAGGTCACAGACTCGTCATCCACTTCCTGTGAGACCTGCTCCTAATCTGTCCTAACTCCCAGCTAAGATCTTGTTCTCACCCCATCTACCTGAGCTTCCCTGGGTTAGGAAAAGGCAGGGAAGGAGGGTCGGTGCCCTCAGGGACCAGTTTACCCTTTCAGGAGTTCATGCAGATGAGAGTTAGAAACCTCTCCTTGAGTGTGAGGACTTGGAGAAAGATGTTGAGATGCCAGAAATGTGGCACCTCTGTCTATACAGGTAACATAGGAATGGGGTGTTAGGATTCTAATTAAAGCAAGAAAAAAGGAAGGAATTTGTCGGGCGTGGTGGCTCACGCCTATAATCCTAGCACTTTGGGAGGCCAAGGTAGGAGGATTGCTTGGGTCCAGGAGTTTGAGAGCAGCCTGGGCAACATGGTGAAACCTAGTCTCTACTAAAAACACAAAACATTAGCGGGGCATGGTGGTGCACGCCTGTGCTCCCACCTATTCAGGAGGCTCGGGCGGGAGGATCACCTGAGACTCAGAGGTGGAGCCTGCAGTCAGCTAAAATCACACCACTGCAATCCAGGGTGGATGATCAGAGTGAGATGCTGTCTCAATAAAATAAATAAGTAAATAATACAAATATAAAAATTAGAAATTAAAAAAGGAAGAAACTGGTTTTTTCTCTTAGTAGATCATGAACTCCTCACATCACATCCTACAATCTCCCTTCTTGCAGACCACAGAGCCCCTTCTCCGTGGAGCTGGTTGGGTGGATTGAAAGCGGGGCTGCCCTGAGATATGTGTGTGGTTGGGTTGTAGAAGCCTTCCCAGCACCTCGTGATCACTTACCCGCACCTCACTTCCTTCTTGCCCCAAATTCAAAACATCCAATCTCATGGCAGGTTCATGCATCTCTTTTCCCTTCCCCTCTCTCCAACACACACCCACACAGCCCACAGGCAGGTCACCCTGCAGGCGTCCCCGGCACACAGCACAGCTCACCCGCTCTCTCCCGCCTGGTCGCTCTTGGATCCTGTGCAGGAATCACTGGGGCTTCTTGGGCGCCGGGAACCTTTCATGGTGAAAATTTCCAGGGTTCTCCAAGTCAGCCAATGCCAGTGTTTGTCTGTGTCCTGCAAAGATTTCTTTTTGGCCTCTGGATCCTTTACTTCCTTTGAGACAGAGGTGTCAGCCCCAAAGCTGACCCTGAAGACTTGGGCTGTGGAGCGGCGGGGCTGTGGCCAGCGGCAGGTGGATGAGGCTCTGACAACTGAGCTCTTGGGGGAATCCTTTATACCGTCAGCAGGGGGTGGAGCCAGGGGATTTATCACCAGGAACGGATGTGATTGGTTGTTCCTGGTATGACAGTGGAAGGGGCCCTCAAGGAGGATTGGGCATAAATCAATCAATAGATGACCAATCAATAGAACCTGCCTAATCCCGTCAACAGCCAACCTGTTTCCTGCCCCCTCCCATCCTCTAGGTCTTGTCTAATGATGATAGACACTTTCTGTAATACCCAATTCATCTATCGCTGAAATAGTTTTTAATGTGTACCTGTTATATTTTCATGCAATAAAAATATGTTAATTTTCATAGTGGCTATCCTGGGGAATGGTATGTATATGAAATGAAGCGTCAAGGGAACAGAAGCAGAAGGAAATTCCCAAGCATCTCTGAGTGTCTCTGCTTGAATTCCTGCCATGTTTTCTTTTTTTTTTTTTTTTGAGACGGAGTCTCGCTCTGTCACCCGGGCTGGAGTGCAGTGGCCGGATCTCAGCTCACTGCAAGCTCCGCCTCCCGGGTTTACGCCATTCTCCTGCCTCAGCCTCCCGAGTAGCTGGGACTACAGGCACCCGCCACCTCGCCCGGCTAGTTTTTTGTATTTTTTAGTAGAGACGGGGTTTCACTGTGTTAGCCAGGATGGTCTCGATCTCCTGACCTCGTGATCCACCCGTCTCGGCCTCCCAAACTGCTGGGATTACAGGCTTGAGCCACCGCGCCCGGCCTCCTGCCATGTTTTCTAAATAAGCTGGCTTCCTTCTTTCTATCTAAGTAAGAAGCTGTTTCAGAAGTTCAGTCTTACAGCATTTGACAAATACTGCTGAGAATTTCAGGATGCCGGGAGGAAATTTTGATTGGATTTGTGGATGTGCCTCTGAAAGCGTGTGTGTGTGTGTGTGTGTGTGTGTGTGTGTGTCCAGGATGAAGTGGCTCTTCCTGGGGTGCAGACCCTTCTTTGTCTTGAGAAAGTTCATTGCTGTTAACTCATTGTGGGTTTTGCGGACATTTTCCTTTTTTTTTGAAATTGAGTCTCACTCTGTCACCCAGGCTGGAGTGCAGTGGCACAATCTCAGGTCACTGCAACCTCGGTCTCCTGGGTTCAAGCAATTCTCCTGCCTCAGCCTCCTGACTAGCTGAGAGTACAGACGCCCGCCACCACTCCTGCTTATTATTATTATCATTTTTTGTATTTTTAGTAGAGACCGGGTTTCACCATGATGGCCTTGCTGGTGTTGAACTCTTGACTTCAAGTGATCGACCTGCTTCAGCCTCCCAAAGTGCTGGAATTTTAGGTGTGAGCTACCGCACTCGGCCTGTGGACATTTTCTGATATTTACACGAAGATATCCACTGTACATAACCATGTTTAAAGAACATCAGTTATTGCAGTCCTTGTTTTTTTCCACTTACCTTCTGCATCTTCTCTGCTCCTATTTCTGCTCAATAAATCTCTTCAAACTGCAAACCTAATCAGTGCACCTTTCCCCTCAAAATACTTTGTTTCCATGTCTAACAAATATTTATTGAAAACGATATGGTCCATGCCATTCACTCTTTTTTTTTTTAACCTTTTTATTTTTATTTATTTATTTGTATATCTGTTGATTGATTGAATGATTGATTTGAGACAGAGTCTCACTCTGTCGCCCAGACTGGAGTGCAGTAGTATGATGTCGGCTCACTGTAACCTCCATCTCCCAGGTTCAAATGATTCTCTTGCCTCAGCCTCCCAAGTAGCTGGGACCACAGGCGCACGCCACCATGCCTGGCTAATTTGTGTATTTTTAGTAGAGATAGGGTTTCTCCACGCTGGCCAGGCTGCTCTCGAACTCCTGACCTCAAATGATCCCCCCGCCTCGGCCTCCCAAAATGCTGGGATTACAGACGTGAGCCACCATGCCCAGCCTCTTTTAAATTTCCTTTTGTTCTTCACTTTAGTTCTTAAAACAAAATAACTTTAATTACAAAAAGCGAGTCACTTCACAGTCTGATAATACGTGTCTCTTGGTGCAATACAACTTTGAATATAAAGAAGAAAATGATAACCTTCATCATACCAAGATTTATTTATTAGGAGCTACAATTCATCAAAATTCACCACTGAGAGAGGGAGTGGAAACCTCCAGAGTGGGCAAGTTATTTGCGTTAAATTTATTTGTTAAAGTACATCAAACCAGAATGTATATGACTTTTGTCGAATTGTTAACAAATATTGCAAACAATTAAAAATAGGTAGAAAACTTGAATAGGGTGTGCCACAAAGGGAATAAACAAATAGTCGGTAAAAAAAAAATGTGAAAATAAATTATTTAATTTCTCTAGCTTCAGGGCAATGCTAATAAAAATCACCATGAGATACTCTTATACACCCATTGGTTTGGCCAACATGGAGAAGACAGCAACACTACATCCTGCCAACAAACCAAATGCCCATCAAGAGGGATGAACACTGTGGTATCTGCAACCACTGGAACTCTACACAGTGATAAGAATTCAACAATAACAATTGACTCAAGAGTAAAGATGTATCTCACAAATCTAATGTTGAGCTGCACACCACAGAGGGGTTTTTTGGGGTTTTTGCTGTTGTTGTTGTTTTTTAGACAGTGTTTCATTCCTGTCACCAAGGCTGGAGTGCAATGGCATGATCTGGGCTCACTGCAACCTCCACTTCCTGGGCTCCAGTGATTCTCCTCCCTCAGTCTCCCCAGTAGCCGAGACTACAAGAAAAAATGCATATACAAGATCTCGCACTGTCACCTAGGGTGGAATGCAGTGGCACAATCCCAGCTCACTGTAGCCTTGAAATCCTGGGCTCAAGCGATCCTCCCACCTCAGCCTCCCAAGTAGTTGGGGCTACTGGTGTGGACCACCATACCCAGCTAACTTTCTTATTTATTTATTTATTTATTTATTTATTTATTTATTTATTTATGTAAAGACGGGTCTCACTACGTTACCCAGGCTGGTCTTGAACTCCTGGCCTCAAGTGATCCTCCTGCCTCAGTCTCCCAAAGCACTGGGGTTACAGGTGTGAGCCACTGCACCTGGTCTTTAGTGTTTTATATCTTCAAGGAAATATATTTGCATTGTAGAAAATGATGAATCTTGGCTGAAGATGAAGAAATCCATTAGGTAGCTTCTATTTTTTGAGATGGGTCATTGAGGGGGGTTGTGGTGGGTGGTCTCACTATGTTGCCCAGGCTAGTCTCGAACGCCTTAGGGCTCAAGAAATCCTCCTGCCTCAGCTTTTCAAGTAGCTGGGATTACAGTCAGGAACCACCACGCCCAGCTCCATTAGGTAGATATTGAAGTAGTGTGTGGGAGCCAGAACTGAGGCATTAACCAGGAGAAATGACTTCATCCAAATTGTTTCAGGATCGACTGATTAGTGATACAGGAGCTAGAAAAAAAATTATTGAGGCAGATAGTGAGGGCAAGAGAGTCCAAGGAAAGGTTTTCCTTTTAACAAAAAGCAGCCCCCAAATCACTTATTTTCTAATAAAAAGCAGCCTCAAAAATTAAGCTGCAAACATAAATAGGCAAGCTAGAAGCTTACATAGGTAAATGCTAGCAGCTGTGCCAAGAGAAAAGGGATACCTGGAAGGCAGGTATATCCAACATGGAGGCTCCCTTGTCCCTTTTCTTTGTCAACCACTGGTACAGTAAGAGGGCAGGCAACATGGCACCGGCCAGGTGGAGAACCATCTGCATAATAAAAGACTAGGGTGGGGCGGCCAGCGTCTTCACATGCTATG